AGGAGATTATACAACTTCTAAATCCATTTCTCGTGTTTAGTGTACACGCCGTACAACACGTTCGGAAACTTGAGTAAAGTTGGACTTACGAACAGACCTTCTGGAACCTAACTCGTTTGTAAGTAGAGGAGTCCCTGTATATTGGCATATATTAAATACATGCATACATTATGCATTCATGTGTAGCTGTTGAATGGCCAGCACGATGTGAATGTATTACGGCTAATAGCAGCAGCGGCAGCGGTAGCAGCGGCAGCAGCGGCAACACCGTCCTGCCAAGGAAGCAAACCTACGTCTCAACGCATCAATACAGAATTACCTGAAAGACGGAAAGAAAAAAACCCAGCAATCTATTACAAGTGACAGGTAATGAGTCAGAATTAAGTGATTACCTGACACAGAGGCGAGTGGACAGGCGACTGGCTGTTACGTGGGCGATACATGCACCGAATCATTGCTGTAAGAACCGACTACTCGCGATCAATGGAGATTATATTCAAAAGTGACATTTCAGCGAACGGAACAAACGAGACGAGACAGCCGACACAGCGAATCTGTGCGAGTCTATGGGTCTCTGTGTGAGTCTATGGGTCTCTGTGTGAGTCTATGGATCTCTGTGTGAGTCTATGGGTCTCTGTGTAAGTCTATGGGTCTCTGTGTGAGTCTATGGGTCTCTGTGTGAGTCTATGGGTCTCTGTGTGAGTCTATGGGTCTCTGTGTGAGTCTATGGGTCTCTGTGTGAGTCTATGGGTCTGTGTGTGAGTCTATGGGTCTCTATATGAGTCTATGGGTCTCTGTGCATGTCTATGAATCGATGGGTGTGTCCACGGGTCTCTGTGTGAGTCTACGAGTCTCTGTGTATCTCTATGGATCTCTATGTATCTCTACGTGTCTTTGTTTGTTGAGTCGATGGTGAGCGGGCTGAGACCATCAACTCTCTACACCCAAGACACCCCCTGCTCCTCGATGTAATCTCTGTGGCTGGGCGGCTGAGACACCGACTCCACGTCTCCGACCTCTAAACCTCAGCGGGGGGTCGCCCTGCGGACAGCAGTGACGTCGTCGTCGTCACAGCACCGTGACGGCAGCGGTGACGTCACAGCACCGTGACGACAGCGGTGACATCACCGTCGTCACACTGCAGTGACGACGGTGAGTGCTGAACTAGTAACGAAACTGGCACGCTTTGTTTACGTGGCAAACCTTACTCGAATTCTAGATTTGAAGCTTTCGTGACTGCAAGGATCCATACTCTTTGGTTCTATTGGGTAAAGTCACGTAGGTAAAAAATAAAATAACAAAAATCACGACGTTTCGACCACAACACAAGTGGCCTTCATCAGGTGAAGGGACCAACCTGTCCTTACTCGGATTGGCTGTGTCGGGGTGGTGGTGGCGGTTTAACGACACATTTATATTAAGAAGACGAAGACTAGTCCATTCGTAAAAAAAACACATCACCGCAGCCATGGTCTATCCACTGCTGGACAAAGGCTTCCCTCAAGCTAGATCCCCTCGCGTGCGCCTCCCCTACGACTCTCGCTCCGTGCTCGGCCTCGACTGCCGGCTATCGCCGTATACCCCTCTGTTCCGTAGTGACGCGACCGGCACGTACTCATGTACGTTGAACTTCTTCCGCACCGTACGTAGCCAACCGTGTGAAACTCAACTATTTTTTTTTATTTGACTGGGTAAGGCCCTACTGAGCTACGTAGCTCTCTTTGAGAAGCGACCTGGCCAACACAAATGACGGCTCAACGAAGTGGCTTATCATCATCATCATCATCACGTGAACATTCATAACCAGTAAGCCAAATACTCTAAACGCGTGGTGATGTTGATTCTAAAGGCGTAGAAGAAAAACCGGATGACCCGGAAACAAATCCACGCGACCACGGGGAGAGAGGGAGACGCCCACGATCACCTGTATACCAGGCGAGGTAGTTAACATCTCGGCACCGTCGCAAATCGGAGGTGCGGGGGGTTTGAACAACCAACTAAACACAACAGGCCGTTCGAAGGAAATGAGTTTGTCAATTTAGATGATTTCAAAGTGCCGTAGCTCCAGTGGTTCATCGTGTTCATTCTCCTTCCTGTCTCTCGGTGCAATTTCTACACCAGCCCACATGCGCACTCACGCAGCGATGGGTTCGTTCCGTTTTCTCAACGAGCTAACGTTCCAGACGTGCGTTCCCGAGCCTTACGGGCTGTGGCACCCGAGCCAAGGTGGCACTGTGACAGGCGATAACAAAAACGGACTGCCAGCGAGCCTCCGGCCACGTGAACGTTATCCAATCAAAAAACGGGTGGCGTTCCGCACGACGCCGCACTAACCAATGGGATCACTCCATCCACGGATCACTCGCCAATGAATTGACGCGGCGGTTTAACTCCTCGGCGAATCGGTGGATCTACCGTCGCGGCTCGTCGGAACGACGGCGAGCAGGATCGATAGAATCGGACACCACAATTCGGGTTTGTCCGTAACGCCACACAACGTACCCGTCAGGCGACGCCACGTTTACTTCCTTCCACACCTATCCCTAGCTAGGGCTAACGGCGAATCGGGAGGGGGGGGGGGGCAATCGCCCCGGGCCCCGTGCTTTGGGGGGAAGGGGTCGGGGGCGGGGCTCGCACTACGACGGAGTTGACGGCGCCGGTCGGTATCACATGGGCCCGTGGGGGATCATCTCGTCGCGCGTTATGCCCGAGCGTCCGCGCCTCTAGCTTGTGTCTTACCAGGGGATACGCACGCAGGCACGCATGCACACATGCGTGTGCGTGTATATATACACGCCTGTGCGTGTATATACACACGCACACGCGTGTGTATATACACGCGTGTGCGTGTATATACATGGCGAGTTCTCGCGTCGTGCGCAGTCTTCCGAGAGGGAACGCTCGGAATTACCGCATCATAACGGGGTCGCGTCATAACGGGGGTCGCGTCATAACGGGGGTCGCGTCATAACGGGGGACGCGTCACAACGGGGGAATGCGTCATAACGGGGGACGCGTCATAACGGGGTCGCGTCATAACGGGGATCGCGTCATAACGGGGGAACGCGTCATAACGGGGGAACGCGTCATAACGGGGGACGCGTCATAACGGGGGACGCGTCATAACGGGGGACGCGTCATAACGGGGGACGCGTCATAACGGGGGTCGCGTCATAACGTGGAACGTGCTCCCATTGTAATGCAGAACGTGCCTGTTATAACGCAGATTGCACTGGGCCGTCATAACACGGTTCCTGAGCGGTTGACGGCGAACTACTTTCTTGAGCTGCGCGGCTGGGCGGTACAACGATAGGGTAACGCAGAGCGATATGGCAGTAAGGCGGTGGCGGCGTGCCCACCGGTTATTAGTCCCTTCGCCATCTCACTGCGTGGCGCGCGTAGTAGTCGTAGTGGTAGTGACATCGCATGTTACCACACTTTATCGTCGTTATGTCGGTTATGGGTACATCGTTGTTTCGCTTGACGCGGCGATATTCGGGAACGCATCAACGACCACAGCTACGAGCGGCGCCTTAAACGAGGACTCGCCGTTGACTGATCGATCGATTCGATGTAATGACAAGAAATCTTCCTTCGGCACCTCGGGTGTGGCCTTCAACCTTAGTCCACGTTCGTCAACCGGGCTCATCGGAGGCACGGGGGGAAGCGACGCGCACAAAGACAAATATCCCCCGTGTAGCCTTGACAGACTGTCGGGGCAAGTGCGCCCTGCCGCCTTTGCCTCCCTAGTGGCGATGTTTACATCACCAGGTGGTCATTTGAGGCCTCGGGGAGGCCCAGGAACGGTTCAGATAATCGTCACTGGCGTTGGCGTTGGCCGTGAGCAGGAATCAAAGTCAGGTCGTCGGGTTCGTAGCACAGCTCACTAACCACTGCACCACCGCTCCTCCCGCACGTGACACACATTATCTTAACCGGTTCTTCCTTATGCCGACTCAGCCTCAAACGAGTACCTGGTGCGATGTGTATTCATCGCCACTGGGGAGACAAAGGTGGCCGGGCGTGGTGCTGGCCACCACCCCCTCGTGCGCCATCCTGGCCTTTATTGGTGCTGCAACTGGCTAAGAGGGATCTTTGTCCCCACACTCTCACACACCCACACTCTCACACACCCACACTCTCACACACTCACACTCTTACACACCCACACACATTCTCACACTATCCCACTCTCACACACTCTCACACTATCACACTCTCACACACTCACACACTTACACTCTCACACACTCACACACACTCTCGCACTATCAAACTCTCACACTCTCACACACCCACACTCTCACACACTCACACTCTCACACTCTCACACACCCACACACTCACACACCCACACACTCACACTCTCACACTCTCACACACCCACACTCTCACACACCCACACTCCCACACACCCACACTCTCACACTCTCACACACCCACACTCTCACACACCCACACTCCCACACACCCACACTCTCACACACTAACACTCTCACACACCCACACTCTCACACACCCACACTCCCACACACCCACACTCTCACACACTCACACACTAACACTCTCACACACCCACACTCTCACACACCCACACTCCCACACACCCACACTCTCACACACTCACACACTAACACTCTCACACACCCACACACTCACACTCTCACACACTCCCACACACCCACACTCTCACACACTCACACACTAACACTCTCACACTCGCCATTCCACTGCAGCACTCCTCCGTCATGCTCGTGGCGGTGTTGGCGGCGGCCGTGCCGGTTGCGTCGGGAGCCAAGCGCCAGCAGCTCGCGAGCGCTCGTCGGTCCACACGTCACCGACGACGGCCTCCGTCCAGCGCGATCGCCCCCCCCCGCCCGACACAAAACCCCCGCGTCGCACGCGCGGCCACTCTCGCCGCTCCTACGTCTCAGCCCCTCTCCGCCCGCCCGCCGCCGGCGCCGTCGGCGCCACCGCCGGCGTAGCGCCGCCGGGCGCCAAGTCACACGAGCTCGTGGAGGTCGAGCGAGTCGGCGCAGAAGATGCTGCTGACGCCGGGGCTGTGCGGGGGAGGCAGCAGGGCGATGGCCTCCAGCCAGTCCAGGCTGCAGCCCCGGCGGCCCCCGTACGTCGCTCGCCCTCCCCGGAACTTGGCCGCCGCCTCGTCCGCCTCGTCCGCCTCGTCGTCCTCTTCGTCCTCCTCGTCGTCCTCGCGGTCGCCCAACGTCATCGCCGCGCCGTCCGCGCCCAGGCAGAAGGGGCCGCCGAGCTCCTGGCCCGGGAACGTCTGCGCGTCGTAGAAGTCGGACCAGTCGCAGAAGAGCTCCAGGCTGGCGCTGCCGCCGCTGACGATGTCGTCGTCGTCCTCCTCGTCCGCCTTGGCGGCGGTGACGGCGGCGCGGCCGTCATTGTCGTCGGTGACATCCGTCCGCGAATCCGTCTGATCGGGGAAGTCACAGCCGGAGTCGGACCGTTTGTTCGCGGCTGTGGAGGACGTGGCAGTGGTGGTGGCGGTCGTGGCGACGGCGACAGCGGTGGTGGCCGCCAAGTCGCCAGCGTCGGCGGCCGTGGTGGCGACTCTGCTGCCGCCGCCGCCGCCGCCGTCGCCGCCGCCGCCGTCAGCCGACCCTTCTACGGCGCCCGATTGGCTCTCTGCTTGGTGCCGCGGGCTGCGGTGGCCGGAGGCGATGGTGGTGGCGGTCGCATCGGCGGTGAGAAGTTGCGCAGGGGAGCGCGGCGAGTCTCGGTGGGGCCGCTCGTGACGACGACGTTGCTCGGCCGGGGTTGAAGACGCCTTCTCCGACATCAACTCTGCGGAACGAAATCGCAGAGGAGCCACAGGGAAGCCGACGCTTGAGTTCACAGTCGGGCAGTGGCTGTGCACGCTCGTGTGGAGCCGCGGTGGTGTGGTTGCGGCCTCGAGTTTTGCTTCTCGGCCGTAGCCAGCATGAGTGGCGAGCGAGATCACAGCGACCAGTCCTGGGGCATTTTAAATTAGCGCCCGGTGCGACGTGTAAAGACATCATCAGCGCAGGGGGAGACAAAGGCGGCTAGCAGCGGTACTGGCGACACCAGACATGGGATAAGTGCTGTTCACGAATAATGACGACGCTGATTATGACGCTCATTATAATTTCTCACCTCCAGTGCTGAAGAGGACGTCAAGGATCTCATCCATCTGCTGCGTCTGTGAACGGCACGGAAGACAGCCCTGCGTTAACACAGGAAGTGACATGGCCAGCGTGGGCAGGAAGTGACGTCGCCAGGGCGGGTCTGCGCCAGTTTTGATTCCATAGACAAAATTACCGACGGAAATATTCGTCGACTCAAGTGTTTCTATAATTTAGTCAAGGGCGAGTGGACAGAAATCATCAAGTGTGACGATGCCTTCGACTATCCACAAATACTACCATCATCATCACCACCACCATCAATGAATCCGTCTATCTTTATGTTCAAGCCAGCTCGAGCCTCCTGTAAACCATGTCACTTCGGTGTGGCCACCCCCACTCCGCTCCCTTCCCCGTGTCGTTACCGCCCGGTGCGAAAACAGACTCCTCCTCCGACCCCCCTCCCCTCTCCCTGCTGCCCATCTAGAGCCGTCTCCTCCTCCTCCTCACCAACACTCCTCCTCCCCCTCCCCACTTCATCGCATCCCCGACTCATCATCGTGTTTCTGCGTCGCGTCTCCCCAGGCACGGCGACCACCCCACCGCCTCCCCCTAAGCCGGACATCACAAACCTGCAGGCACGCCCGGGGCGAGGAGGAGCAGGAGGACGAGGAGGAGGGAGGAGGAGGAGGAGGAGAGGTGCCACTGTGCTTCACCGCGTCCTCGTACGAGGGAGGGAGGCCTCTGCGGGTGCCGGGGGAGAGGACGGTCGTGGCGTTGGCGGCGGTGGTGGTGAGGCACTCGGCTGACCCCGCGATTCGGTTCTGTAACGACGTGACGGAATGACAATTTTACTGCAAGCGGATGAAATTGCATGCCTGTCAACCCATGCGGTTTACCCCGTATTCTTGAAATTGAGTTTCCAGGTCCATGCGGTGTACAGCCGTTTCAATACGGGGAAAAATAAAATGTCTATTTGTTTGTGTTTGTCCCTTGTGATGAGACTTTGTAGGATGAACGTTGAGATTTATAAGGGGCACGGGGTGACCAATCAGGTTTTAATTGGTATGTAATAAGGTAAGCACTGATAAGGGTATGTGAACTGCGCCTTGCAAATGTAAATTATTATTAGTTGCTAGGGATGAACAAGTGAGTGGGTGAGTGAGTGGGTGAGTGAGTGAGTGACGGAGTGGGCGAGTGAGGAAGTGATTGAGTAGTAGGTGAGTCGGTGAGCGAGTGGGTGGGTGACTCAGTGGGCAGGTGAATGGGTGAATTAATGGGCAGGGGAGTGGGTGAGTGGGTGGGTGAGTGAGCCGAGAGTGGTGTCCCTACCTTTTTCAGAAGCTGCTGCTGCAGAATGTGCTGCTGCAGATGTGCCCGGCAGTGCTGCAGTGCATGCTGGGAGTGCTGCCCATGCAGCTGCTGCAGTGTATGCTGGGAGTGATGAGGCAGTTCATTTTGGGTCGGCTGCATTTGAATTTGCTGCTGTTGCTGCGGTTGCGGTGCATTCTGGGACTGCTGCCCCTGAAGATGCTGGTGCTGAAATGCATGCTGGGAGTGGTGCTGCAGTGCATTTTGGGTCGGCTGCCCCTGAAACTGCTGCTGTTGATGCTGCTGCTGCTGCATGGCATTCTGGGAATGCTGCCCTAGAAACTGCTGCTGCATTGCATTATGGGAGTGCTGCCCCCCCTGAAACTGCTGCATTGCATTCTGGGATTGCTGGTGCTGCTGCTCTTGCTGATGCTGCTGCTGCTGCAGGAAAGGGAGCAAGGGATTGTGGGAGGAGGAAGAGGCGGAGGCACCGGCCGGTCGCGCGCCAGGCAGGGCGGCCGCGTCGGTCACGAACGGTCCGGGTGAGAACGCCGCAGCTGGAGGGACAGTGCCGCTACCGCCCCCTCCCCCGCCACCACCGCCGTTGCCGAAGAACCCGAACGGAGGGGGGGCGCCCCCCCCGCCGCCACCGCCCGCAGCGGCGGCGGCGGCGGCGGCGCCGTCCCCGTACCCCGCCCGGAGCGGGATGCCGGCGGAGGTGGCGCTTCCCCCTCCCGCCGCCAGCTGCAGGCGCAGCTCCTCGGCCTGGCGCCGCTCACGCTCCAGGATGCGCTTCAGGTCCTCGATCTTCCGCGTCTTCTCCAGCAGCGCCCAGTCGCCCTCGCTCACCCCGCACTGCGGCGGCGGCGGCGCCGGCGCCAGCGTCGGCGGCGGAGACGACAGACGAGGGGCGCGCGACGACGAGGAGGAGGAGGAGGAGGAGAGAGACGAGGTGGAGGAGAGAGACGAGGTGGAGGACGACAGAGGCGATTCGGGCGGCGTGTTCGTCACGGCGGCTGCCGACGCCGACGCCGCCGCGGCCGGTGTTGGCGTGGCGGTGCCGGCGCCGTGCCCGCCGTCGTGGTGGAGCCGCAGGCGCTCGAGCAGCACGGGCTTGGTGCCCGACACGGGCAACGAGCGCACCTTGAGCAGCTGCTTGAGGTCGGCCACCTGCGTGGAGGAGGGGAGCGCCGGGTTAGCAGCACCGGGGTGGTGGTGGTGATGATGATGATGATCATGTTGATGATGTTGATGATCACGTTGATGATGATGTTGATGATGTTGATGATGATGATCATGTTGATGATGTTGGTGATGATGGTGATCACGTTGATGATCATGTTGATGATGTTGATGATTACGTTGATGATGATGATGATGTTGATGATCATGTTGATGATGTTGATGATCACGTTGATGATGTTGATGATCACGTTGATGTTGATTATGTTGATGATATTGATGATGTTGATGGTCATGTTGATGATGTTGATGATGATCATGTTGATGATGTTGATGATCATGTTGATGATCATATTGATGATCACGTTGATGATGTTGATGATCATGTTGATGATCATGTTGATGATGATGATGATGTTGATGATGTTGATGATCATGTTGATGATGATGATTATGATCATGTTGATGATCACGTTGATGATGTTGATGATCACGTTGATGATGGCCATGTCGCTTCTGAAAAAGAGCTACACAGAAGCTCAGTGGGACCTTGCCTGGTAACAATAAAAATATAGTTTCATACTTTATATAACAAAAAACTGGAACCTCGGGAGGCAGTCTCACCTTGAGTTCGTCGAGGTTCCGCGGGAGGTGGCTGAGACAGAGCTCGCTGGCTCCGAGGGACGCGCACGAGAACGCGTGTCCATGCGTCTGTCCGGAGACGTATCCTTGTGCCTGTCCCTGAGCGTGTCCGAGCATCTGGCTCTGAGCGTGTCCGTGTGTCTGGCTCTGAGCGTGTCCGTGTGTCTGGCTGTGAGCGTGCCCGTGCGTCTGACTCTGGGCGTGTCCGTGTGTCTGGCTGTGAGCGTGTCCGAGCATGTGGCTCTGAGCGTGTCCGTGTGTCTGGCTCTGAGCGTGTCCGTGTATCTGGCTGTGAGCGTGAGCCACGTCCATCTCCTTCCTGCCATCCGCCACCTGCATCGCGTGCTCCCCGCACGGCGAGCTGCGGGGACAAAACACAACGATCATCATCGCCATCATCGTCATCGCCAACATCACCATCATTATCATCGCCACTGTCATCATCATCACCGTCTTCATCATGATCGCTGCATCGCGATTTCAGATGCGCTTTTTCTTCCAATATTAGGTTATGTACACACACAGGAATTCAATGGGGGTTGGTTGTGGCCCTGCCCCAATACGTCTCTATGCAGAACTTCTTTTGCAAGGTACGCAGCCAACCGCACTAATCGGAGGTGCCGGTGAAGGACAACAAACTAAACACAAAAAAAATCAGTTCTAAGGAAACGAGTTCGTCAATCCAGACGTTGATTTACAAGTGCGCAGCTCCAGCGGCTTCCTGGCACCGCAAGGGAAGAGCGTTCCAGACGGCCGCAGAGGCGCGCCTCTGCGAGCGCCGCGCGACGCGGCGACCGCCGTCCTCGTTCGACGGCGAGCAGCCAAAATCCTCGCCGTGGGCCGGCCCCCTAGGTCGGCTCAGCCTTGAACGACGCCCCCACCGCCCGCTCACCGGGCCGCGGGGGAGAGCGCTGATGTCGCAAGTCCCTGCCGGCTGAGGATCTGCAGCAGGAGCTGCTGCTGCTGCTGCTGCTGCTGCTGCCGAAGCAGCAGCGTCGCGTAGGGCGGACTCGCCCCGTCGGACTCGCCCGCCTCCGCAGGAGACTCGCCCTGCGGCGGCGGCGGAGGAGGCGGAGGAGGCGGAGGAGGCGGAGGTCCGAGCGACGGCGCCGAGTTGGGGCGGTCGCGCTCCAGCCGCTCGGCGGGAGGGACGTACTGGTGGTACTTGAGCTTGCGCACCTTGGGCCGCGCTTCCCGCGCCCTCTTGGAGCTCCGCGACGGTTTCGCCGGGCTCGGCTGTGACGCGTGCCGTGGGGTGGTGGGGGTGTCGGAGGGGGGTGGGAGAGAAACGGCGGTGTCGGGAGAGACGCCGAGAGACGACGCCGACGCCGAGAGATGCCGACGACGACGTTGGGGCGGCGGCGGCGGCCGCCCTGCATCGCTGCCGAGCCCGCGGCGGTAATTGGCGCGGCCGCTGGGGTCGAGCCGCCAGCGTCGTAACAGCGTGGAATGCGTTGCACCGTCATAGCGCTGAGCGGCGCAGCGACACGCTAACCCGGAGTGATGCGGCGGTAAAGCGGCGGTGGCGGCGGCGGCGAACCCTTAGGTTGTGTGCCACCCTTCTCCATCTCGCTGCGTGGCGCGCGGAGCCGCGGTAGCGCCGCCGTATCTTGCCACACGCCGTCGGCATTGCATCGGTTATGGGGACGTTAAATTTCGATTTAAAGCTTTCGTGACTGCAAGGATTCATCTTCTTTGGTTCTTTCGGGAAAAAGTCACGTAGAATGAGAATAAAATAATAAATTGATAAAATAAAATAATAAAATTCTCACGACGTTTCGGCCACAACACAAGCGGCCTTCATCAGGTGAAGGGACGAGACTGTCTGGAGGACAGCGCTGGAGCGAACAAAGGTCGCGATCTGAGCGTGGCTTTGTTCGCTCCAGCGCTGTCCTCCAGACAGTCTCGTCCCTTCACCTGATGAAGGCCGCTTGTGTTGTGGCCGAAACGTCGTGAGAATTTTATTGCGTTATTTTATTTTATCAATTTATTATTTTATTCTCATTCTATGGGGACGTTGTTCTTGGCTTCACGCGCCACTTTTCAGGGACGCATCCACGACCGCGGGCAGCGTCAGCGCGCCAAACGAGGGGACTCGCCGCGGACTATTTGGGCTCCAGAAATAAAGATCGTGAAGGGTCGCACTCGTGGCTAGCGCTCCTGGCGTCGGAGTTGTTCCACGCTGCTTTGGGTCTCTCGCGATGCACGGCACGCGATCGCCATCGTCAGCGAAGCAAGCCATCTGCCCCAGCGGCACCCTGCTCGCCTGCACTCAACGCGCCGCTCGAACGCACCTCTTTAGAAGACGCTGAAGGAGGCCGCGGTTGTTCCTCGCCCTCGACAAACACGTGGGAGCGGCGAGCAATCGGAAACCGCCGCCTTCGAAGAGGTCCGCGAAACGTCAGACATCGCAGCGGCGGCGGCGGCAGGACCAGCGTGGACGTACCTTGTTTGGCGCCTCGGCAGGGCAGCCCTGATTGGACGGCTGGCTCGCGGCGTCCGAGTTACAGGCGAGCGGATTGGCCAGGCGGAGGTCGGCGACGAGCGTAGACGCGGTGACGGAGGCCGACGGGGTCAGTGTCGGCGCAGGCGATTGGCTGCCTGTGGGGGACGGGGCGTCGCCGCACGTGCTGCTGTCTGTGCCCGGAGACCACGGGTCCGGGGAACGTGGCAGAGCAACTGCGGGAGACATGACCAAGTTGACACGACCGAGTTGATACAACTGAGTTGACATGACCGAGTTGATACAATTGAGTTGATACAACTGAGTTGATACAACCGAGTTGACACGACCGAGTTGACACGACCGAGTTGACATGACCGAGTTTACATGACCGAGTTGATACAACCGAGTTGACACGACCGAGTTGACATGACCGAGTTTACATGACCGAGTTGATACAACCGAGTTGACACGACCGAGTTGACATGACCGAGTTGATACAACTGAGTTGATACAACCGAGTTGACATGACCAAGTTGATACAACTGAGTTGATACAACCGAGTTGACATGACCGAGTTTACATGACCGAGTTGATACAACCGAGTTGACACGACCGAGTTGACATGACCGAGTTGATACAACTGAGTTGATACAACCGAGTTGACATGACCGAGTTGATACAACTGAGTTGATACAACCGAGTTGACATGACCGAGTTGATACAACTGAGTTGATACAACCGAGTTTACATGACCGAGTTGATACAACCGAGTTGACACGACCGAGTTGACATGACCGAGTTGATACAACTGAGTTGATACAACCGAGTTGACATGACCGAGTTGATACAACTGAGTTGATACAACCGAGTTGACATGACCGAGTTGATACAACTGAGTTGATACAACCGAGTTGACATGACCGAGTTGATACAACTGAGTTGATACAACCGAGTTGACATGACCGAGTTGATACAACTGAGTTGATACAACCGAGTTGACATGACCGAGTTGATACAACTGAGTTGATACAACCGAGTTGACATGACCGAGTTGATACAACTGAGTTGATACAACCGAGTTTACACGACCGAGTTGATACAACTGAGTTGATACAACTGAGTTGACATGACCGTGGTGTCGGGAGTCGTAGTGGTGATGGTGGCGGTGATGGTGATGGTGGCGATGATGGTGATGGTGGCGGTGTGGTGATGGTGTAGATGATTGTGACGGTGGCGGTGATTGTGACGGTGGTGGTGATGGTGATGGTGGCGGTGATGGTGATGGTGGAGATGATTGTGACGGTGGCGGTGATTGTGACGGTGATGGTGGCGGTGATTGTGACGGTGGCGGTGATTGTGACGGTGGTGGTGATGGTGGTGGTGATGGTGACGGTGGTGGTGATGGTGGCGGTGATTGTGACGGTGGTGGTGATGGTGGCGGTGATTGTGACAGTGGCGGTGATTGTGACGGTGATGGTGGCGGTGATGGTGATGGTGGCGGTGATGGTGGCGGTGATGGTGGCGGTGATGGTGATGGTGGCGGTGATGGTGGCGGTGATGGTGATGGTGGCGGTGATGGTGATGGTGGCGGTGATGGTGGCGGTGATGGTGACGGTGGTGGCGGTGACGGTTGTGGCGACGGTTGTGGCGAGGCATTCCCACCAGAGTCAGGCGGGCAGCCGGGCGTCAGCGGCGGCACGGGCGGCGGCGGCGGTGCCGGCGGTCGGGAGGTTGAGACGGGAGACGGGGAGACGCGGGCGCGCTTGATGTGCTCCGCGAAGCCCGCTCCGTCCGTGTCGCAGGGCGCTCGCAGCAGCCTCACGCCGTCCCCTACGACGATGGGGAGAGGCGGCAGTCAACCCACGGCAGTGAAGTCCTCGCTTAACACGTGGCGACTCTTCCGGAACACGTGTCGCTGTAACGTGGAACACGTGGCGACTCTTCCGGAACACTTGACGGAACGCACGTTCACCATTATGACGTGGAACATGTGCCGCTATAACGCGGAACACGTGTCGTGATAACGTGGAACACGTGCCGCTATAACGTGGAACACGTGCCGCTATGACGTGGAACACGTGCCGCTATGACGTGGAACACGTGCCGCTGTAACGTGGAACACGTGCCGCTGTAACGTGGAACACGTGCCGCTGTAACGTGGAACACGTGCCGCTATGACGTGGAACACGTGTCGCTGTAACGTGGAACACGTGCCGCTGTAACGTGGAACACGTGCCGCTGTAACGTGGAACACGTGCCGCTATGACATGGAACACGTGCCGCTGTAACGTGGAACACGTGCCGCTATGACATGGAACACGTGCCGCTGTAACGTGGAACACGTGCCGCTATGACATGGAACACGTGCCGCTGTAACGTGGAACATGTGTCGCTATGACGTGGAACACGTGCCGCTGTAACGTGGAACACGTGCCGCTGTAACGTGGAACACGTGCCGCTGTAACGTGGAACACGTGTCGCTATGACGTGGAACACGTGCCGCTGTAACGTGGAACACGTGCCGCTGTAACGTGGAACACGTGCCGCTGTAACGTGGAACACGTGCCGCTATGACGTGGAACACGTGCCGCTGTAACGTGGAACATGTGTCGCTATGATGTGGAACACGTGCCGCTGTAACGTGGAACACGTGCCGCTGTAACGTGGAACACGTGCCGCTGTAACGTGGGACACGTGTCGCTGTGATGTGGAACACGTGCCGCTGTAACGTGGAACACGTGCCGCTGTAACGTGGAACACGTGTCGCTGTAACGTGGAACACGTGTCGCTATGACGTGGAACACGTGCCGCTGTAACGTGGAACACGTGCCGCTGTAACGTGGAACACGTGTCGTTATAACGTGGAACACGTGTCGCTGTGACGTGGAACACGTGTCGCTGTAACGTGGAACACGTGCCGCTGCAAGGCGGCTTCTGAGCGATCGACAGCGAACTACTTTCTTGAGCTGCTGCGCTGCTGAGCGGTGGAGTGACACGGTAACGTGGAGTGCGTCGCCGTGGCGGTGACATCGCGTCTCGCCACGCTTGATCATCGCTACACCGGTTATGGGGGCTTTGTTGTCGCTGAACGCGTCCACAACTACGACTCCGACTAGCGGCAGCGCAGACCGTCGAGGCAAGTGCTGTGTACGAGTAGCAGCGGCAGCAGCGCCTATTCGGCAAGGGCCCCACCACGCCCGGCCGCCTTTGTCTCCCCGGTGCCGATCATTCGAACGCGACCGTGATCGCCGATCGCGGCCAGTGGTGTGGCGTGTGGCCTGACCTGCGAGTGCCTCTGGCTTGCTGGAGACGCTCTTGCTTATGATGTCCTCGATCTGCCGAGGACACGGTTCACACTCCGTTACACGTGTGCACGCGTGCCGCGTGTGTGTGTGTGCACGCGCGCCGTGTGTGTGTGTGCACGCGCGCCGCGTGAGTGTGCGCGGACACGTGTGTGTGTGTGTGCGCGCGAGCCGTGTGTGCGCGAACACGTGTGTGTGTGTTCGCGAACACGTGTGTGTGTGTGTGTGCGCGAACACGTGTGTGTGTGTGCACGAACACGTGTGTGTGTGTGCGAACACGTGTGTGTGTGTGTGCGAACACGTGTGTGTGTGCGCGCACACGTGTGTGTACCTAGAGGGCCTACAAGAACCTTCACCCGGCTCTAGCGAGTACCTTTCTCACGTACCTAGAAGGCCTACAAGAACCTTCACCCGGCTCTGGTGAGTACCTCTCACACGTACCTAGACCGCCTACAAGAACCTTCACCCGGCTCTGGCGAGTACCTCTCTCACGTACCTAGAGGGCCTACAAGAACCTTCACCCGGCTCTGGTGAGTACCTCTCTCACGTACCTAGAGGGCCTACAAGAACCTTCACCCGGCTCTGGTGAGTACCTCTCTCACGTACCTAGAGGGCCTACAAGAACCTTCACCCGGCTGTGGTGAGTACCTCTCACACGTACCTAGAGGGCCTCACACTTGCACGTACCTTGCATCTTTGCAGGCCACTACGCTCGCAGACAATCGCTGGCATTTTCTGCACTGTCAGAAAACAAACAGAAGAAAGTTCGTTGAACACGCAGGCTGTCGCGACCAATATCATCGATAACCGGCAATGGATACCCATTGTAATTGATTGCCATTCACTAAACGCCACCCCATGCACCCTTCGCATGTGAAGGGCTCACAAGTGACGCCTTTGCACGTGAAGAGCTCACAAGTGACTCCGTCGCACGTGAAGGGCTCACAAGTGACCCCGTCACACGTGAAGGACTCACAAGTGACCCCGTCGCACGTGAAGGGCTCACAAGTGACCTCGTCGCACGTGAAGGGCTCACAAGTGACCCCGTCGCACGTGAAGGGCTCACAAGTGACCTCGTCGCACGTGAAGGGCTCACAAGTGACCCCGTCGCACGTGAAGGGGTCACAAGTGACCCCGTCGCACGTGAAGGGCTCACAAGTGACCCCGTCGCACGTGAAGGGCTCACAAGTGACCCCGTCGCACGTGAAGGGCTCACAAGTGACCCCGTCGCACGTGAAGGGCTCACAAGTGACCCCGTCGCACGTGAAGGGCTCACAAGTGACCCCGTCGCACGTGAAGGGCTCACAAGTGACCCCGTCGCACGTGAAGGGCTCACAAGTGACCCCGTCGCACGTGAAGGGCTCACAAGTGACCCCGTCGCACGTGAAGGGCTCACAAGTGACCCCGTCGCACGTGAAGGGCTCACAAGTGACCCCGTCGCACGTGAAGGGCTCACAAGTGACCCCGTCGCACGTGAAGGGCTCACAAGTGACCCCGTCGCACGTGAAGGGCTCACAAGTGACCCCGTCACACGTGAAGGGCTCACAAGTGACCCCGTGGCACGTGAAGGGCTCACAAGTGACCCCGTCGCACGTGAAGGGCTCACAAGTGACCCCGTGGCACGTGAAGGGCTCACAAGTGACCCCATCACACGTGAAGGGTGGTGCCGGTTGTGATTACTGGCGAAACGTCATACACACAGATTGTGAATGTCGTGGCTTTACTCTTCAACACACAACCCTGGTGGTGCTGGACCAGTGACGAATTTGCACGTCCCGCTTACGTTACAAACCCATGACGTGATAGACCTGTTGACGTGATGAACCCGTTGACGTGATAAACCTGTTGACGTGATAAACCTGTTGACGTGATAAACCTGTTGACGTGATAAACCTGTTGACGTCATAAACCTGTTGACGTGACAAACCTGTTGACGTGATAAACCTGTTGACGTGATAAACCTGTTGACGTCATAAACCTGTTGACGTGATAAACCTGTTGACGTGATAAACCTGTTGACGTCATAAACCTGTTGACGTGACAAACCTGTTGACGTGATAAACCTGTTGACGTCATAAACCTGTTGACGTGATAAACCTGTTGACGTGACAAACCTGTTGACGTGATAAACCTGTTGACGTGATAAACCTGTTGACGTGATAAACCTGTTGACGTGACAAACCTGTTGACGTGATAAACCTGTTGACGTGATAAACCTGTTGACGTGATAAACCTGTTGACGTGATAAACCTGTTGACGTGACAAACCTGTTGACGTCATAAACCTGTTGACGTCATAAACCTGGTGACGTGATAAACCTGTTGACGTGATAAACCTGTTGACGTGATAAACCTGTTGACGTGATAAACCTGTTGACGTCATAAACCTGTTGACGTGATAAACCTGTTGACGTGATAAACCATATCCTACCGGAGCATGTTTGTTGTTTACATGTTCACAAGTACGTGTGGTTAATATTACATGATTCCTTGCAAAGGGTTAACATCTGACCACCTATATTCTTGGTTCTTTCGGTAAAGTCACGTACAAGGGAAACAATAAAATAAAAATATAAGAATAAAAATATTATTTTATTGTTTCCCTTCTACGTGGTGACTTTAGCGAAAGAACCAAGAATATGAATCCCTGCAGTCACGAAAGCTTTAAATCAAAATTGGACCACCTGCTTTATTGACAGAAAGGGTTAAGACCTATTCTCATGAACCTCACGAGTTGGCTGCGTCGGGTGGTGGCAGGTTCAACGACACATTTACACTCACGCGACCTAACCCCAAAAATAAACCATGCACCATGTCGGACAAAGTTCGCGAAGCAACGGGACGTTGCGATGACAAAGACGCAGACAGAGATGACCACGCCGGTTGGGGGACGGGTGCTGTTAGCGAGCACCTATCAAGGGCGGCCCGGCGTGATGTGGCCTGCACGCCACGCCCACTCGGTCAGATGTTAGTCTCCGACCCCGAACGCTCGTGTTGAATGCACACCGCAGGGGGGCCTAGCGATTTAAGGCTGAGTTGACCTAGTGGGGGAGAGGGGGGGGGGGGAAGCTGAGTGACCGGTTCGGATACGGTGGTGTTGGCCAGAGCCGGAATTCAACTAAGGTGGCTGGCTTTGGTAGCCAACCAGTGCGCCACCGCTCCCCACGAACGTAAGCACACGGAGCAGCATCAGCAACCCCCACCACTATGTGGGTTACGATGCCTGTGCCAGGCTAGGTGCACTTTGAGGCTATCACGTGACGTGTGGAAGGCTCTCGCTGCTTTCAGGAGGTGACGGGACAGACCCAGCAGGTGCCCATGGGTTGACTGCTGTGCCAGGCTAGGTGCAGGAGGAGGTCACGGGACAGACCCAGCAGGTGCCATGGGTTGACTGCTGTGCCAGGCTAGGTGCAGGAGGAGGTCACGGGACAGACCCAGCAGGTGCCATGGGTAGACTGCTGTACCAGGCTAGGTGCAGGAGGAGGTCACGGGACAGACCCAGCAGGTGCCATGGGTTGACTGCTGTGCCAGGCTAGGTGCAGGAGGAGCTCACGGGACAGACCCTGCAGGTGCCATGGGTTGACTGCTGTGCTAGGCTAGGTGCAGGAGGAGGTCACGGGACAGGCCCAGCAGGTGCCATGGGTTGACTGCTGTGCCAGGCTAGGTGCAGGAGGAGGTCACGGGACAGACCCAGCAGGTGCCATGGGTAGACTGCTGTACCAGGCTAGGTGCAGGAGGAGGTCACGGGACAGACCCAGCAGGTGCCATGGGTTGACTGCTGTACCAGGCTAGGTGCAGGAGGAGGTCACGGGACAGACCCAGCAGGTACCATGGGTAGACTGCTGTGCCAGGCTAGGTGCAGGAGGAGGTCACGGGACAGACCCAGCAGGTTGCCATGGGTTGACTGCTGTGCCAGGCTAGGTGCAGGAGGAGGTCACGGGACAGACCCAGCAGGTGCCATGGGTTGACTGCTGTGAGTTTGTTCCCCAGCCCGCTGATGCCGGAGGGCAGCAGGAGCAGGAGGAGGCTTTGGAGACCGCGGCAGAAGCCTCGGCGAACGGAGCCACCGCCCACGAAGCCCGCAACGAGGGCCGGGACTCGTTGGGGGCTCCGCGTGGGGACCTTCTCGAGGTGCTGCCGTGTGGCCGGGCGGCGATAGCGGCGCTGGTGGGAGATGGCACGCGGAGTCTTTATCTGGTGGCGACACGGCGGGCGTGGGGGATGCTGGGAGGTGCCATCAGGGAGCGCTGGGGGAGGAGGGACCCACGGGCAAAGACAAAGGTCCCCCGTGTAGCCTCTGCAGACTTTTGGGGCAAGTGCCGTTAGCGAGCACCTCTGAAGGCTGGAACGGTACACGAGGGGGTGGGTGGCCAGCACCACGCCCGACCGCCTTTGTCTCCCTAGTGACAATGTTTACACACCGCACCAGGTACTCATTTGAGGCTGAGTCGACCTAGGGGAGGCCCGGGACCGGTGCAGATAATCGTCACTGGTGTTGGCCGTGAGCGGGAATCGAACCCGGGTCGCCAGGTTCATAGCGCAGCGCGCTAACCGCTACACCACCGCTTACACACACACACACTCTCTTACATACACACACTCTCTTACATACACACACTCTTTTACATACACACACTCTCTTACATACACACACTCTCTTACATACACACACACTCTCTTACACACACACACTCTCTTACACACACACACACTCTTACACACACACACACACTCTCTCTTACACACACACACACACACTCTTACATACACACACACTCTCTTACACACACACACACTCTTACACACACACACACACTCACTCTCTTACACACACACTCTCTTACACACACACACACACTCACTCTCTTACACACACACACACTCTCTTACACACACACACACACACTCTTACACACACTCACTCTCTTACACACACACTCTCTTACACACACACTCTCTTACACACACACACACTCACTCTCTTACACACACACACACACTCACTCTCTTACACACACACTCTCCTACACACACTCTTACACACACTCTTACACACACACACTCTCCTACACACACTCTTACACACACACTCTTACACACACACACTCTCTTACACACACACACACTCTCTTACACACACACACACTCTTACACACACACACACACTCACTCTCTTACACACACACTCTCTTACACACACACACACACTCACTCTCTTACACACACACACACACTCTCTTACACACACACACACTCTTACACACACTCACTCTCTTACACACACACTCTCTTACACACACACTCTCTTACACACACACACTCACTCTCTTACACACACACACACACTCACTCTCTTACACACACACACACACTCACTCTCTTACACACACACTCTCCTACACACACTCTTACACACACTCTTACACACACACACTCTCCTACACACACTCTTACACACACACTCTTACACACACACACTCTCTTACATACACACACTCTCTTACACACACACACTCTCTTACACACACACTCTCTTACACACACACACACACTCTCTTATATACACACACACACTCACTCTCACTCTCTTACACACAGTCTCACACACACACTCTCTTACACACGCACTCTTACACACGCACTCTCTTACACACGCACTCTCTTACACACGCACTCTCTTACACACGCACACACTCTCTTTCACACAAAGATAAAGATCCCCGTATAGCCTTAACAGACTG